CCCCTCATGTCCGTTCTGAACAGCACACCAGAGTGGTGTTTGGTGGTACCTGTTTTGTTCGTCGGGTTTGACGCTTTCCTGCCCAAGTAGTATTTCCACCACTCCCTCGTGTCCATTCAAAGCAGCCCACACGAGAGATGTACTACCCGTGCAGTCCTTTTGGTTGATATCACAACCTTCCACCTCTACCAGATCAACTACAATCTCAATAATCCCAAAGATGGACGCACAGTGTAGAGCACTGAACTGTTTATCAAAATCAACCATATGCAAATACCACCTCTGTGCTCTCAAGAGGATTTTGGTGGATATGTGGTTATTGCAATTGTCAAGCAGCTCCAACGCAAGCAATTTCGCGTAATTTGTGAGGCCCCTTTTTGCGTGAACTCCCCAGTATAGAGAAGAATATTCTACAAACGGCATGTCTTGGAGATTGGGAGAGGAAGTGGTCGAAAGAGCCTTGACCTCCTGGGAATTCAGATAACTTAAACAGGTTTCTGCCATTGTTGATTGAACTGTAACAAAAAGCTCGGGATGAGCCCGGAGGTACTCTTGAAGGGTAAAATGGATTAAGCGGACCGCCGAAACCTCCTTGTCTACGACGACAAGTCCTTGACAGCAGTTTAGCAATATGCTTATTGTAGGAACAATGTCGACGTTGATATTCAGCGACCCTATTTCGACTGCTAGGGCGTGACACAGCTCATCAGCTTTCAAGGGCCGCTCCGCGTGAGAGATCCACATCAAAGCGGCCATGCCGAGCCTCGCCCTCGGAGCACCCTGTCCCTTTATCCGACCCAGTTCTGCACCATAAGCATCCCCCAGCCCCAAGCCATTGGTCATTGCGTTGAGCTTGCACCGCCTGCGGTGGATCATGGTTTCTTGCAGGATCGAGTCGATATTTAGCGAGACGAGCAGGAACCTAGACATGTATCTGTTAGTGGATAACACGAGGCGGCTTTCCCAGTGTTATTGCTTTCACATACGTTTCGGAAATATTTTCAAGAATTTTCTTCAGGATGTCTGCCTCCAGACTACTGTCCATCGCATCTGGGTTTGTGTCCTCGCCCAGCCTGGCACGAAGGTATCTGACGACATCGTCTTCCCTAGGAGTGATGGATACACTCGCTATTCTCCCGGCAAGATACCTCTCGAACATAACTCGAATGTATGGTCTTCCAGTTGCGAATATTCGAGTGCCTGGTGAGTTTCGGAGAATTTGATTGAGCGAGAGCAGAATCTCGGCTTGTGCTTCTGGCCGACACTCATCCAGAGCGTCGATGCATATGAAGGCGCGCTTTTTAGAAGCAGTAATCTGCAGCAGCATCTTTACAATATCGGAAAGTTGCGGCCTCCGTCCACCCACGCTCTTTTTCTGGTCCCTATAAGCTCGTGCAATTTCCTCCGGTACCTCTTTCAGTCCGGCAACCAGCTGTTTCAGTAGGGCGCCCAGCACATTCGTTGCTGACTGCTCATATCGGGTAGCGAAGTCAAAGTAAAAAGCTGCAATAGCTGTATCCTCATCCTCAGCCTGATCACACAGGCTGTCTATCACCAATGAGCTAACATCACGGTTTGTCAGCACCTGTCTTTTCCCTTCTTCCATTCCCCGAGGCTTGCCCTTGTTACCTAATATAAGTTTTGCCAGCACCTGGATCTCCATAGCAAAACAAAACTGCGTTATCCAATTCACTTCCCCCACTTCTGGCAGACCAGTTTCTAAATTCCTCGGTTTGTAAGAGCCATTCCCCTATGCCCTCGACTCGCCAGCTTTGAACATCCCGATGCCGTACCCTAGGTTCCAGGGGGGATAGCCAGGCTAGGATGTCTGATTGGTCATCAGTAACGCACTGGTGGCTACACGCGACAAAGTTGAAAGAGTTCACGTTGTCAGTGAAATATTGAGACATTTCTGTTTCTCGCTGCTTAGGATATTGTAATGGGCGATGGTGATGTCGGTCAACCACAGGAATTCCAGAGAAGCTAAAGAAAAGCGGGGTTACTTTTGTGGAACCCCTTGGATACTCGAGCACCACAGGAGCGCCCAATCAACAACCTCCCTCAAATTTACACCATTTCCCTACAACGCCTTTTCTTCCCTCCACGCCACACCTCTCTCGGTGCTATCCCACGGCACACATGAACCTTCCACCGTGATGAACTAATGCCCCAGAAGTCCTAGATACGGCGGAATCGGCTACCGTAGCTTGGTCAATAGGTGCCTCCAGTCTTATAAATACCGTAAAAACTCAAATAATAGAACCGTGTGCTATGTAGTCGAGAATTACCCACTTGAGAAAGGGGGCGAAAAACACAGCAAAAACGGAGCTGCTCAGCCCCCCTCAGAAGCGTAAGGAAACAGAAAAACAAC